CCAGTGCCTACAAAATGCAGACAAATGTTATGCAAGAACACAACAAGTAGGCGAGAGGAAATAACAAACTAACATACTAAGAGACGTGAAAATAGAGTCAGCACCACTGATCTAAAAGTTATCAACAATTCAGCATTTCCACCTGCAAATTCCTCATACAGAAGTATCTAAATATTCCAACTTACATGTCTCAAAGGAAGAGATACACCGGACGGTAGCAAATCCAGTTGATGAAGCCCAAATCTCTCTCCAGCCATAGCTAAGATAGCAAGTTCCTCGTTACTAGAATATGATCCGGGGGCAATATTACAGGGGACACCAGACGAAAGTTTCTTTCCTACTGGCTTATCACCAAATAACACACTGTAGAAGGAAACAATTTTTCTTGCCCAGCTCACAATGGAGCACCCATCTTTACGGATCAAATCTGGGAGGTCATCAAGGTTTGTGGATAAAAATCCACGTCTCAAACAGTTCTCAAGCCATCTGAATATATTTGGAGGTTTTCTGCTGGAAGAAAGGGTTGTGCATGCCCCAGTAATTTTGGAAAGACGAGGAAAATCACGTATGTAGTGATCTATGTAACATTTCTCACCCAGATACTTGGCAATATTGCACAATAAAACAGCTAGGTGATGCAGATCCCTGCACAAAGATGTCAAAAGATTAAAAGGGGAAATCGTATATATATTAAATCGTAACACTACTTCTGATCTTTAAAACTTCAGTTTTCTCTAAAGAGCCAATGTGCTTACTGTTTTCGTAGATTATCCATCTTCAAACTCTCATATACTGCATGAAGACAATCTAAACTCTGGACCATTAATTCAAATGAGTTGTCTGGTCTTTCTCCACTACCAGTCTTAGTAGAAAATGGGGCAATTTCTTCCAGATCCAAGGGATTGATTGAAGTGATACCACTGTGAAACCTAGAATAGGTCTTATGGAACTTGCTGCTGAGAAGAAACTCCCAGGAGGACTCTGATGATGTTTTAAGTTGCTTCAGATGCACAGCATTAGGTTTTTGACAGATCCCCAGAAAAATATTGCACAACGCTTCCCATTCAAAATGAATACTGGAACCCTTCTGGTCAGAATAACCATCTCCCCAAAGAAGAGAGAGGAACAACTTGTACAAATCGGATCGTAATCCCTCAGCTATGGCTGCTATGCAATCATTTGCAAGTGAAGATGAAGGGTTACCAGTTAAGGCACACCGAAAGATCTACAAGAGTAATATAAACGGTAAATTAAAACAGACGACAACTTGAACAACCAAATAAACAAGTAGCGAAGTTCGGAACAGTAAATCCAGCTGCAACAATCACGTGATTTGAGTTCATAAGGATAGACCAACAACTATTGTAGTTAATACTAATTATTTTGAATTTTAAAGGATTTATATAATTATATCTGTGTGACAAACCTGTGAATGATTTACTGACAGATTGATACATCCTAACACAGCATCAGACAATCCTGTGATCTTCGGATCCCGGGAACCTGAATCTGTTTTTGCAGACTCACCAGAAATAAGTCTTTCCCCCAACCAAGAAGGCAGTACATACCTACAGAGGCATTGTTTTCCTGACTACAAATAATACAGATAAATCAATTAAGCATGGGACGTAAGTGTGGAATTTAACAAAGGAAACAATATGGTACGTATCAAGAACCTACATAAAGAAAGAGGTCATTTTCTGGAGATAAAACAATGACATCCAAATGTGGAAGCAGTCCTATTTTCACTCTGCAAGGAAACGGTAAAAACATTAGACAAACTCTCAATATGACAACAATAACAGTCTCATTTTCAGTGACAAAGAGGTAAAAAAATGTGGATAGGAATTTACTGAGAACGTGTCACAACAACAGGTGCAGCAGCAATTGCAGAGATGCTCCAGCTTATGTCAGGCTTAACGTCAAACAGAATTTCATTATTGATCTCAACAGTTTGGAGTCCCACCGATAACAGCTTCTTTTGTTCTAGAATTAGAAAGCAAATTACTGGGACTGCATCATCAGTTGCCAAAAAGACCTGCGACATATGAGGTACTTGTGAAAAATCAATTAAAAGGGTAACAGAACCCACATGCCTTTTTCCCATTCAAAGTCAACAAATAGCAACGAATTTACAAAGTACAGTATTCATATAGTTGCAAGAGAACACATCTCACAGAAGGAACTCGAAATTACAAAGAGAAAAATCAGAATGGTAGCAAAGCAGTCAAGGCCGAGGGGCTTACTGATCTCAGGTACCACGAGATTTAGCTGGCCCAAAGCCCGAATCTACTTGAGAAGGCCACATATTTTGGAAACTGAACACCCAAGCAAACGTGCTTTATGAAGGTGATGTCTTAGAATGTCTAGAGAACAAGAAATGAGCAAGCTACCCTACCCAAGATACCTAAGAGGTCTAAGATTGTGCATTCAAAGAGCATCTCTTAGGTAGAGGTTCCCAAAACATTTACGAGAAAAAAATTTAAGCCTTGATTTAGTTAGAAAAAGAGATCCTAAAGGACCTAAACCTTGTCCAGCAGCCTACAAAATATACATAAAAATCTTATTCAAAAAGATACTCTTTAGATGCATTCATAGTCACCTTAGATGCAGGTTTCTTAGCACCTTTTGCTTGCCATATTCTCCGAAAAGATACTCGCTTCGGGATAATAGTATCAGGAATAACGTTGCTTGAACATGACGCAGAAGCTTCAAGGTTAGACTCTATAAATTCGATTGCCCACACAGAATGTTGCATCTTGCCTGAAAAACCCGAGACAGAATACTTCGATGAAAAATAACAAGAGCATGTGGCAAGTTCAGCCTGAATGGAGAAGAGAATGACAAACCTTTGTTATACGAGGTCATAAGAGGAAAAAGGTCACTTGACCAAATTGTTCTCTCATCGTAGTCCTTCATTATGTTCAATTTTCCCCTCTCTTCTAGATAGATTGGCTGGAAAGTTAGTTATATTAGTCACCAGATAAAACATATAACCAAACATTGCATAACCAAAAAAATCCACGTGCTGTTGAGATAACAGCAACGAAATTATTCAGTTCTCGAACTAAAAACAAGACTGGCATGAAGTACGAATGAAGTAGACAAGAAAATTTAAACGTATGATTATTTACCTCAGGCTCCTCTAATGGATCTCTTAGAATCAAATGGGAAGACATGTCTCTTTTGCTAGTAAGGCCATGCGCGACTGTGGAATGGAAGTTCTGAGGCGAAATATTCCCAGCTTCTTTCCTTTGGCGCAGCATCTCACGAGAACCAAGAGTGGGGCTAGCAGAAGAAAATGGAATATTGGAGGATGGATTCACTTCAGCAGCTTGCTGAAGAAGTAGACCGAACGGTAAAGGCCATATTGATATGACAGTACGTGGAAGTGGAACAGATACAACTTCGCCTGTCGCTCACAAATGCCAAAGATAAAAAGAAGTAAATACTCAGCTGAAACCTCGCAGACTAAGAAATAATAGCATGTATACAAATCCAGTCAATAAGTAAAGATATGTGATCCTTTGCTCTACTTCATTAGCCTTTATGTGAAAAAGTAAGATAAGAAGGGAAATATTATAGTTCAGATGTATTTAGCCAGACTTACCTGATATGTTGTATATTGTTAAACAACCAATTTGTAAGACACAAAGAAAAGCTTCTGCTCCTCGACCCAGGTGACTCCAACATGCCTATGCCATTAAAACAGATACTAGTTAAGTGAAAAATTTCTGCCTTTTATCTAATTCATTGAGCAACAAACAGAATAGCTTCACCAAAAAAAAAGAAAGAATCTAACATACAAAAGAAAGCATAATTAAGGCATAGCTAGTTTTTTAGTTACTTAAGAGTCCAACTTACCTTGATGATGGGAGAAGACAATGTAAACTGCTTGAGCACTCTTGAACCGCTTGTCCAGATTATCCTATCCTCAAATAAATAAAAATTCATCATCAGGAACAGTCAGAACAGATACAATTATATCAAACACCCAACGAAAGTAGCTTCTAACTAAGCATGATCCTACACACATTTTACTGTAATAAAGAGACATACTTTGAAGAAAATTAAAAACACATTCCTCCACTTGAATGATGATTTCACTTAGTGGCGGATGGTAATAGAGTAATCAGAAAATTTGTATACACATCCGAATCTTCTTACCGGTTGTCTCGGATGAAGAGCTCATGCTCCCTCTGCCGCGTGAAGTCACCTTCATTGCCATCATCATTGTCTCTCTGTCCAGTGATGTCAGGATCGAATAGAAAGTATTGGTAGGAATCCGCAACATCATCGTCGGGAGCGTTGGTAGCTTCAGCGATTAGACCGAAAGGTTTGAACTTTCCGAGAACTGTAAGTGGGCGAATCCCTGGAGACATTTGAGTCAATTGAATTGCACTATCCCGCTCTGAGCTTAAAACCCTAGTCTTCAGACGCGAGGCCAAAATTGATACGGTAGGTAAGTCAGGAAAAGTCGAAAGAGATAAATGCTCTCAGAGGAATTTCATCAAACACCTTCTGTGCATAATGCTGCAGCCAAATCTTCAATCAGAACGAAAAGATAAGAGGAAAAAAGTGGGGAATAAGTAAAATAAAAGGCCCAAACTGAAATAAACTTCCCGCCTTTTTGAGTTTTGACCATAGTCAACAACGGGGCCCACTAAGACAACTGTTTGGTTTTTTTTTGTCAAAGAAAGACAACTGATTGGTTTTTTTATATAACTGAAGACAACTGTTTGGTTAATTTGCGTAAATATGCAATAGACAGAATTTATGTAAATATTTACCCTAATTTGGTTTAAGTTGGTCCGGTAAAGCTACAGCACAGTAAGTTCGGTTAACTGATCCGGTATAGATTTATGTTAGGTAGAAAGAGGTGATATAAATAAACCCTAACAACAACAACAATCTTGGAATACAAGAGAGCTGCTTCGCTTCTGTTTACATAAACCCTAATCTCCTTCTCTCTCGAATACAACAACTACCTGAGATCATCAATGGAGGAGGAGTATACCGATTATTGGAGAATTGAGAAGTTTGATCCGGCATGGAATCCGACAGGTATGCTCGAAGTCAGCTCTTTCTCCAGACGCTATCCTCACCACAGAGAGACGTATCTTCAGGCGTGTTGGCAAAGTGTTAAATCCGCTCTCAAGGAGTACGGAGTCGCTTGCGAGCTCAACTTAGTTGAAGGTTCTATGACTGTTTCAACGACCAAGAAGACTAGAGATCCTTACATCATTGTAAAAGCTAGGGATTTGCTTAGGCTTCTGTCTAGAAATGTCCCTGCTCCTCAGGTATTTGATTATAAGCTTTCTTTTTGTCGGATGTCATTTATAGTGCTTTGTTATTGATTTTTACAGGCGATTAAGATTCTTAAAGATGACATGACTTATGATATCATCAATATCCGAAAATTGGTTCGTAAAAAGGTAATACTTTCAATTTCAATATTTGACAAAGACAGTGAATGAATCCTACCTAATATAAGACTATATTTGCAGGAAAGGTTTGTCAGAAGAAGGCAGAGGCTTGTGGGTCCTGGTTTTTCTACATTGAAGGTCTCTATTGTTCTTGATTACTGGAAGATGTTTAAGATAGTATTAGTGATGCTTTGTGTATATAAGACTATTGTATTTTGGCTACTTGCAGGCGCTGGAAATATTTACCAACTGTTACATTCTTGTTCAGGTAACGGTGTGCGTTTCTTTTGTAAATGTCTCACTTCTTTGAAACGTTTTTGTTTTATTTTCTTTGGTTTGATATATTTGCTTGGGTTTTATATCTAACTAACAGGGAAATACAGTAGCCGGAATGGGTTCTTTTATAGGTCTCAAAAAACTCAGATGGGTTCTGGGATACATAGAGAGTTCAAGTTGGGATCCTTTGTCTATTATAAATGCTGAATATAATCGGATTTAAAGGATTTAGTACCTCTCTGTTGTCTAATGGTGACAACTCTTTGTTGTTGTTTTACCTTGCAAAATTTATTTTGTCTTAAAAACTGGTTATAGTGTATTTGATGATGCTAATGATTATACATGAATAAAACTGAGTAAGGTCGATACAAACGAGTCTCATGACAATATTACTCAACACGTAACTCATCTTATACAGACAATTGACAAACCATGGAAAAAAAAAAGAAGAAATTAACAACTCAATAAACATTATACAAATAAGCATATGATGATATTTCAACACCAAAAATCAAATCAGTAACTAGGTGATGGAGCAGTTTCGGAACAATGGTCAGGACGGAAAGCCAATGGACCAGCAGCATAAACCACAGCCTCATAGGTAGTCCACTTGACCCTCTTCTCTTCATACCGAAGCTTCGCTCCATCCAAAGCATTGTTAATGTTGGAGAAGAGATTACAATCCTCACGAGGAGAAGAGACGAGCTTGGCACGGCAAGCGTGGAGAGGATGGTCTAAGAAATGTGGAGTCATTTTAAGTCCTTTGAGCTCACCGTAGAAGTGACCGTAGGAATCAGTTTGAAAGACTTTGTAGAAGCTCACTTGTTGCTTGTGGTTCTTGCAGATGACGCTGATTTTGGCTCCGGGTATGGCTTCTGCTCCTGCCAAGGACCATGATCCGAACTTGTCGCAGGATTGACAGTACACCATTCCTTCCACTGCTGCTTCCACGGTTTTCACGGCGGGGTAGACGGTGGTTGGAGGTGGTGCGGGATATACGGTGGTTGGAGGTGGTGGAGGAGGAGAGTAGCCGTTGGCCAAAGTCGTGGCTGCGATGAGGATGAGGAGAACGGAGAAGGGTAAGGCTCGTGGGTCCATGTTTCTTGTGTTCTTGGAAAATGTTATTTGTTATCTATTTTCTTGTGATTCAGAGCAGAGAGAAATACGTATATATAGAAAGAAGAAACAAATGTGTCTTTTAATTATATTAGTGCGATTAATTTGCTAAACCGACATTCATGGGGGTCATTGACAAATTGTATTAGACGTGAGTGCAACTAATCGAGGAGATTATACATATCTTGTATGAAAATGGAGGCAATGCGGCTTATTACGTGACTGCCATTTTCTTGGGTCAACGGTGTAAAAAAATCAAAATTATTGTTTGCCTAATTCTCTATCCCCCATGACCTCATGATTCATGAACATATAAACCATAAATCTATTGGATATATCATATTACTCCCTCCGTTTCGAAATAATTGTCATTCTAGACAAAGAATTTCGTTTCAAAATAAGTATCGTTTTTAAGTTTCGAAGCAAAATTTTTTAGTTTTATATGATATTCTATTTTCCTATTGGTTAAAAAATGATTAGGTGTATAGATAATTGTATTTTTATCTTGAAAATATGTAAAATTAAATGTTTTCCTAATATGTGTGTAAAAATCTAAAATGACAATTAAAATGAAACGGAGTAAGTATAAACCAGAAAAAGAAAACTCTTATAAAATTATAAATGGCGATGTAAGACGTAGTACTAACCAAAAAAGAAGAAAAAGAAAAGAAATCACGAAAAAAATAGAACAAGAAATGGAATCATGAGATTAAAAGTCATCAGCTCCTGTAAGTTTAGCAAAATCATCTTCTTTGATTGAACCTTTCTTGAGCTTTTTGAGTAGACGATAATCTCGAGCCATCTCTTCTTCATCTTCGGCTGTTTGGATGGTTTGTCTCTGTTTTCCTGTTAACTTTCTTTTGTTGGAATCTGTGGCAGAAGAAGAAGCAACCGCCTTTTTCGAGTTCTTCTTGCCTTTCTCCTTTTTCTCTTGTTGCCGTTTCTCTTTCCTTGCTTGCATGTTCTTCTTTCTTTGCTTCTCCCTAGATTTGTCCCTGCAAACAATCCAGACTTACCACTTTCAGAGAATACACTACACCTATGGACTAAGATGTTCAGACAACAAAAACTTGTTTCCACTGAAACCTAAACCCTATAGTCGTATGTATTGGTCAAGAAACTACGATAAGACTGGACATGAATATAACAAAACAGTACCCTAATCCAGATGGCGAAAAGATACATCATGTATATATATCAGAAGAGTGTTTAGGGGGTTCTGTAGAAAAACATACTTAAACTTGATCTCCTCAAACTTAACGTCTGTAACGGGAGTGAAACCTTCACTGGAAAGTCTGTGTTGTTTTACTTCAGACATTGAAGGAAGATACAAGAGTCCATATCCCATGGCTAACTTTCCTATTTCTAGGCTTTTCCATCTGTAAGTTACGAAAAAAAAGGGAGAAACTTTTGAGAGAGAGAGAGAGAGAGAAAGAGAATATTTGCAAACAGCAAAAATTACTAAGAATCTACGGAACCTGAAAATGTAAGAGCAGTGATGCTCCTTATAACCACGGACAAAGGAAACAAATGCCTTTAGTCCCTTCTCCAACACTGCCCGGTCCTTCATGGCTAGTGAACGTATCTGAATACAATGTAGCAATTACTCAACACTGTAACCAACAGCGACCAAGAGAGAGAGAGAGAGGTGCATGGAGGTTTTCTTACAATCGGGATGACATCAGATGCTTCCTCAGAGCATTCTTTCTCTTGACAAGGGACACCTCTTCTGCGCATAAACTCTACATAGTCTTCTTCCTACACATGTAAAAATGAAAGTCTTCAGCTTTTCTTGCTCTGCAATGTAACTATGGAAAACATCAAGAAAATTAAAAGTTGCTCAAAGCTAAAACCTCGGGAAGTAAAAAAATTATGGCCCTTCCTTCTTTTCCTAATCTTGCAGTTCTACCAACCCTGTGGTTGAACATATTTGGGTCTTGTGGGGGATCATACTGCATAAATAATTACAAAATTCTAACCTGTGAGCCTTAAATATTGCAACAAGAGAGGGAAAATAATGGAAACAAACATGATTCAATCTACCTGAACAACGTAATCAATGCCTGGAATATCAAGTCCACGTGCAGCGACATCAGTGCACAAAAGGACAGCGCTTGATGCTTCAGTAAACGAAGCTAATGCCTTCTCTCTTGCATTCTAGCGTGTAAATTATATTCCATCAAAACCTTTGATAACAATGTGGAAAATTAAAATATACATATAACGTAACTGTAGCTTACCTGCTTCATATCTCCATGGATAGGAATTAAACATATGGACTTCAGGGCAGGAATTTTTGAAAGTACGAGTCCCCAGTAATCAACAGATGCACAAGTCATAAAGTATCTGCAGAGATGCTTAACCTATCAATAAGGATGCTTCATTTTAAAAGTCTGTGTGAAGGGTTTCGAACATACACTATAAGCTTCTTCTTTGCATTTTCGACGAGGAGATCCACTAGTTGTGATGACTTCTTATCTGCTTCGCATACCAAATACTGCAGAGACAGAAGAAATAAAACAGCTAAGAATTGCATAAAGTAGAAAAAGCAAAAACAAGTACATTATCATCTTCCACAACTCTTTGTACCTCAAGGTGCAGCCCAGAAGGTACTTTCGAGTTTGTCACTTGCTGAGATGATTCAGACTTCGACTCAGCTCGAACTTCAACTCTCACAGGATTCCTAAGCCCAGCCTTGGCCAACTCTTCAACACCTTCTGTCTGTGTAGCTGAAAAGAGACCAGTCCTACGCTGCTTTGGCAAGCGAGATATAATGCTATTCACCTGCTTCTGGAACCCCATCTCCAAAAGCCTATCTGCTTCATCTAAGATAAGAATCTACATATTCAAAAAGAATAACTAAGTTACCAAACTTGTTTAGACATCTCAACCAGTTCAGATATAGAAAACTACCTCAAGATTTCTGAAATCAAGAATCTCCATCCGTTCCATTATATCAGAGAGCCTTCCAGGAGTGCCAATCAAGAGATTGCCTCCTCCTTCTTCTATAGTGTTCATGTCAGCTCTCACCTCTCGGCCTCCAACAAGCAGCACAGAGTTCACATTTGGCAAAGTCGAAACAAAGGGCTGTGCCACGTTAAATATCTGCGTTGATAGCTCTCTCGTTGGCGATATAATCACTCCCATAACCTGCAATGTGATCTCAAGAATATACATCAAACCCAATATTCAAGAAATGGTAGGCCATTACTAGAATCTATGCAGAGAAATGAATAATGTTCAAGTATTGATTTATATTAAATAATTTAAATCTATATAGAATCTTTTCATTTTTTGGTATAATTATAAAATTATTTTGATGAAATATCAAAATTATATACACAAAACAAAAGAAATTAGAAAACTTTGTAGATTTGTATGAACATTATTACTTAATTTAACAGATTTAGATTAATGTAGATTGGTTTAGATTGTTATACGTTTAACTCGATTTGAATAGTGTAAATTTGATTTTAAGAAAATGTTTCGGCTAGACCAATTTCTACAACCATGACCAAACCTAATGTTCCAAAAAGACAAAAATTTATATTCAGAAGATTCATTATAACTACAAACTCTTAAAAGAGGCATAGACTTATAAAGCAATGAACTTTTCATCACTAATACTCTAAAGACATGAGCTTTAAATGTGACCTAAAGATCCTAACTTTGAGATTACTCAGCAACAAGTTTCCGCTACCTGGTGAGGCTTAGGAGGGTATGACGTGGAACGACGGAGAATCTCTATGAGGGGTAAGACGAAAGCTAGGGTTTTTCCAGAACCGGTGGCTGCGTCGACGGCGACATCTTTGTGGCGACAGAGTAAAGGGATCGTAGCGGCTTGAACGGGAGTGCAGAACTCGAAACCGGACCGGTCAAGGGCTTCGATGATGTCTTCGGAGAGTGGAGGTTCGAGGTCGGAGAAACGCGTCTCCGTTAAGGCTTTGTTCGTGTTCGGTGAAGAATCCATTGCGGCCGCCGTTTAACGATTCTCGTCGCTCCAGTCCCCGCTTTTGAAGTGACCTATTTATAGGGGAGGGTAAAACGCTGCGTATTGGTCGATTCGGTTTGGTTTTTGGGTGTTTTGGATTTTACCGGGATAGAATAAAAAATTAAAACGGTTATCAATTCGGTTGGGTGTTTGGACCGGTTTTCGTCGAAAGCCCGCCCATTAATAGAAGACATATCCATTGGTTTTTTTTTTTCACCACAAGAGTGTTTGAACCACACTTATAATAAAAAGATTTAGAACTTGTTATTGGTTTGTATATTTTAGTGGATTTGAAAATACAAATCAAATATAATGTTATTGGTTCTATAATTTTAAAATCCCTATTCAAATTCATTGTTATTGGTTCTATGATTTTAAAATCTATATTCAAATTCATTGTTATTGGTTTTATGATTTTAAAATAGATTTTAAAATCAGGCGTTATTCAATAATAATGATTTGCTTGAGGATTTGATTTTAAAATAGATTTGAGTGGATTTGTGAGTTAAAAATACAAAGAATCAAATATTGAGTTGAACCTTGTTATTTTGATAGTGTATTATTGATTTTCTTAATAATTGTTTTCTTGCCCCAAGTTTTACGTACATATTATCCATGTTTCTCTAATAATAAGCAAATACTAATATATTAACCAACCATCTCTAACTTAGTTTTACGTACACGTAGACGTTAATATAAAAATTTACCAAAGATCTCTCATAAGAGTTTTGGTCTACAAATGTTTTCTGGAGATTATACTCCATAAATGATAAAGAGTTGTTTACCATCATCATGTTTTTCTGAGAAATGTTAAGAATTTTTTATATATTCAAATCTCGATTTTTAATTTTTTATGTGCATCCCCTTTTGCTTATAAGACACAAACGGAGAGAATATTTGTGTGTTAGTTTACGTGTAGTCTTTTTAAAAAGTTCTGACGAATCAATAACTTTTCTGAATAAAAAAGTTTTGATGAAGAAGAAGATATTGAGAAAGTTTCTAGAACTGAAAATCAACAAACAGAATATGCCAATCAAGTGAGAACGGTAATAATAACAAGTATGTGCGAGATTTTATGTTATCATAATAACATAAGACATAGAAAATGATAAACCATATGTTGTAGTTTTATATATATTTTCTTTTGTTACAAAGCTGCGTTTATCACAAATCCATTTTGTTGATTTCTAATAATTCAATTATATTGATTTATAAATCTATTTCATTGATTCTGAAATCTACGTATTTGATTCTAAAATGTGTGGATTTGTCAAAAATTTAAAAATCCAAAAAGGATTTCTAAATCTATAAAATCCTAAAACCAATAACCCCCACTTAGTAACACTTAAGATCACTACTTGGACCAAATGCTATTTTTGTTGTAACTTTCATCCTGATGAACATATATTTCTCTTAAGACCAAAAAAATTTGGATTCTTAAACCACTTAAATTGGATCTCTAGCACAGAAGCACTTAATAACATAAGTGACAACAAGTCTAATTTGGAAACCATTACAACTCCATGCTATTGGACCCTAATGATACTTCTAATGCTCTTCACCCAACAGCAACAACACCAAAAGTGAAAACTCAATTCAGACTCATCATCAGAAATTCACAAGTTTTCAGCTCTCTATTCCTCAGCCACAAAACGGACAACGTTGTCCGACTGAAAAAGTGGATTCAGAATTAGGCGTGGGCTGGTTCAGCAAAATCAGAGGTGTGAAGTTCTAACTGCCGGTTGGAGAGCCCATTAATATTTGGTTGAGTATTTGGAGCGGTTTTCGTCGACAGCCCATAAACAGTTATCGCATCGGTCGATAATTTGGACCAGTTTTCGTCGACAGTCCATTAATAAAAAATATGTCATGTTGGGGTTAAAATCGTTCACGACGGAATCAACGACCAAAACTCTTCGCAAAGTTCAAAATAGATTTATAAAGATACGAAAAAGTGTCGAAAAGAATTCCAAAAAATTTCCGAACAAAAGAACTCTGTAAACTTACTAATCGCCATCATGGAGATCATCGGAAAATCGAATAAAACAACTCACGGTTGTCCGACTAGCCAACTTAGCAAGATCGGCCATAACGTCCAACCCGCCAAAACGACAAGAATGTCCGAGACCATCCAGATAGCCTAGCCGGCGAGCTGACCGTCCCGAACGTACATCCACAGTAAGCTTTAAAAAAATAAAACACTTGGTCGTTTCGACCAAAAACTTATACATCGCATCGTATCAACATCAATATTTCGAAAAGAACCAGCGATACGTCACTGAAAGTCTTAGAGAAATATTCATAAGTCCATCCGCGACTATAAAATCACAAATGCTCATCGATTGGCCCTGCCGAGCACGCTTTCCCTCTTAAACAAACACATTCGAGCCACTGGTCCTTATACATCCAACTAGGATAAAATAGCGTGCTATAAAAGAAATCCAAAATCTTGGTCAGCACCTTCGGGGATGCTCGATTTCGACCAGACAAGTCATATAAACCGAGAACCTATCGCGGACTTTAAATCGGTACAAAATCAGGTTAAATTTGAAACAGGCAAACCAAAAGCCGACTAGTAATCGCAAAGCCTTAAAACCGAAAATAAACCTAGGTCTTACCCTAAACCCAAAACACTGGTCTCTAACGTCTCAAAGCATGAAATGAGATCCTAAAGGCATGTCTCTTCATCCACATCTAAGCGCTCGAAAAAAAAAAAGAAGCAAAACATTCTGATACGAGCAAACGAACAGGACGGTCCGCATAAAGAGTTGGATACGAGACGAGAACTCGTACTATTTCCTCCACACTTAACAAAATACAGATTCATACATGGAAAAACTCCATTAATATAAACATAGTCCGATACACGCCGCCCAGCGGCATGGATTCAAAGCCACCAATGACCAGTCCCGATAAAAACAATACAACAACATAAAACGATCACACCTCAACATACATCGAAATCATCTTTCACCGAGCATTAGCCAGCGTTCGCATCATCCCCCGGTTGATCAACCTCGCCACATTATTTTGGGATATCCATCCTGACTTCAACTGAGTCTGACGATACCGTAATGGGATCCCACTCCGCCCACATCCTCGCCTCAAGGTCAAGAAGCTCGGACTGCTTCTTCTTTTTCCTATCCAAGCGTGCCTTTTGCTTGGCATACTTCTTCTCGTACGAATTTTCCACGAGTTGAGTGAAGTGTAACCCACCAACCACGCCACGACAGTCACCGATGGTCCTTTGCGCACCTTTGATCCTCAAGTATTGAGTTGTAAACCGTTCACGGGAACCTTCACCATCTCAGCGATTTCTCTCTTACCCTCTCTGCGATCACGGCGAACTTTCCTTTCGGAAAGCTCCATAGCACGATGAGAATCAGCCTCGTGCACCTCCCTCATACGGGCAATTTCCCTCTCGGCCCACTCCTGAGCGCGAAAGAAGTTAGCATCAATCTCTTCTTTGAGACGAGCAACCTCCTTTTATGCTGCCTCGGCTCTGGATTCGGCCGTACGGGTCTCCGCATTACTAGCATTCACAGCCTGATTCATAAAACGAAGATCCTACAATAATTTTTTTTTATTATATTCTAATCATATGCAGAGTAATCGCAAGAATAGGCAAAGGGTAACAAACCTTGTTAACGAGTCTTGATGCTTTGGTGAACGGCGTCTCGGCCGGCCTAACCTCGGACAAAGGAACCGAGAAATTAATGTAATCTAAGATATCAATCTCTACATCATCGCTGGCCTGGCCCTCTGGAAGGCTGTCAAACCACTGGCCCTATCAACCGGAACACCTCTATCATTTGGAGATCTCGACCTCTCCCTCACTTCTGGAACATTGTCCATCCTTGGCCCCGATTCAACTGCAGCCGTCTCGCTTCGCTAAGAATTAGAAAAGTGATAAGCAACGGCACGACACTCTCTTCGGAGAAAAATGTCCGCAATAAAACATACCACCGAGGAGAAGGCTCTTGACTTGCTGGAGATCTTCGGGTTTCGGAGCGAGAAGGAAAGATGCTGCAAAACATAAACCAAACACAAATTTAGAAGTTGGAGAGAGCGTACGAAAAGACATACAATCTGAATACCCTTTTTGCCACATTCACTCATGAACATGGGATGCAGCTCTTCTCTACCGAGGCACTATCGATTCGAACGTAAAAGAAAAACTACATCCAATCGTGACCATTCGAGGAAAATTTCTCAATGATCGATATATCCGCCCGCGGAGATATGTAATAATAACCCTCGCTCTTGTGCTCGGGCGATAGCATGGCCTCAAGATGATCCGCACTAAGGGTCATACCGCGCTCGTAGCTCAGCACCAAAACCCCGATAAGATGCTGCAGCCCGGAAAGGTAAAGTTAACTGATCGACAAACCAAACCGATCCAAGACTTCGACTATGACCCGAGGAATGGGAAACCATAATTGGTAATGAACCAAGAAAGCTTCATAGCATGTGAATTAACCTGGAGGCAGATGTCTGGCATCTTGACCATGTTCGGGAATGCAAAACTGCATCTAGGATCATGACAGAGCTTCGCATAGCCTTGAGGGAACGAAGATAACTCATGCTCGGACCTTTCTTGCCCTTCTTTAACCCGGTCCTTGGAGGAAACCAGAAGTTAGGCGGGGGGATTCCAGCAGTATGTATGGCCTTCCAATACCTCTCGGTCTCCTAGCCCTTCGTGGTAAACCTCAAAAATATCGGTTCAAGAAGTTCACTATCACTGGCAATATCGAGATCGATCGGATCGAAAATAGATGGGTGGGCACAATCCGAAACTCGCCATTCATTGGACATGATCAACGAATAAGTATGAGAAGATTCAAAGAGAGAGAGAGAGAGAGAGAGAGAGAGAGAGAGAGAGAGAGAGAGAGAGAGAGAGAGAGAGAGAGAGAGAGAGAG